TTATTGAAACTCATCCTTGATAGACCTCTGGTCTATCTATCTTTCTGGTTCCTTCTGGCTGGTCTTGCAAGATGGAAATAAAACCACATCACTGTCATTCTAAGCCTCAAGGAGAGAACAGGGTATTAAAGATGTTACTTAAAAACCTGAAATAGATTCATCGCAAAAAGCTATGGGCAAGATTAAAAGCACATTCTCAACAAGAAATCTAAACAGACAGTCCAAGAAAGCCACACAAAAAGGACATACAGACCAGGAAACATGCAAAAAAAAAAAAGAACATTCTTTCAAAGAATTCCCCAAAAGAATTCTCTCCAGTGTCCATTTTGCTAGTTTTTCTGATGCTTCGATATATGCTTGAGTAGCCTGCTACCAAGTACCTGAACCTTCACTATCATTATCCTAGATTTAGATCTTAAACAGAAAGTTTCTTCATCTTATTATATGAGCGCATATTATTTATTACAGAACACAAATCTCTGTCTGTCTTGTTTATTAACGTTTTTGCCAGCTCAAAACAAGACTTGAGGTCATGCTTCTTCCACAGCAATAAACACACTCATGAGAGCTGAACCACTAAGTAGTAAGGAAAAGGAAAGCAGCCTGACACACTGGGACTGAAGTGCTGCTAGAAAGCAAGAAAAGTTTAAAGAACTTACCAGAGTTCCCCCTCTGCTGTTCTTGCTGCTTTGTCAGGACTAGCCCTCATTTTGACCATCCTAGGTGTTAAGAAGTGTTTGGCTGGCTGAGAGGGCTCCGAGGTAAACTTTACCTTCCATCTCCCCATTTTCTTAATTACATCACTTGCATCTCCCACAGCTCATGATAAAGTACATGAGAGACATCTGGCATCAAGATTGAGCTGGTGGCCAGGTCTCAACTCAGATCTTCACGGTAAACAAACACGTATGTCAAAAACCCAGACAGATTATTCTACAGAACTGCACGGTGGCACGTGGGCAGTTCTTTTACTCTTGAACCATTCCAGACGCTCACAACTTTGTTTCTGATCTCCTCAATACAGCTGTTACTGCAATTCCACTATAGCACGTCAGGAAGCACGCTATTCCCTCTTCTCAGATTTAGGAAACTCCATCTTGACTTTCTGCTGTTAACAGGAATAGGCCCATAACCTACACACTCCCCCCTTGAGATAATCATAGCACGGATACCCTCTCACCCATGTGAGTTGACCACTTTTCCTAAAATGGTTGTGCAAAATTAGGTGAAAATCTCTTTAACCGGTATGAATTTTGGGCAGCTGAATTTCAGTGCAGGGACAAGCTTGAGTTTAGGGTAAGGCATTGTAGAATTATTACCAGAAGTTAATCACAGACACAGAACTGAGGGACTGTCTGCATATATTTGTCATATTGACTCAGAAGACTTTCTTCTTTGGTAAAGTGACACCACTCTGCCAACAGCTTAGGGACACTATCTGTGTAGGTGACTACCACTCCCCAATACTGCTGGGCAAACTTTACTTCGGAAGAGAAATAGCTGTCATATAGACCAAACCTAAACACTTCCAGATTGGAACACAAACATTCATAATTATGTCACAAGTTCAAAAAAAGACTGATATCCATTAAGCTAATTCAAAACTAGAAATGCACCATAAATATTATTTTCCACTGTTTTTCCAATAAAAATTTAAATATTTCTTTGAAGTCTACATTTTATACCTTTAAAGACACTTGATATTTTAGGTTCAGAGAATGAAGATGTTAACTTTTTTCTTTATCCATGATAAGCAAGTTGCAGGAAAGCAAAACAGAACGAAAGCACAGAAGAAAATTATTTTAGATAGTAAAGTATTTTACAAGGGAAGTGTTTGTGATGTTTTTTAAAATGAGTATTATCCTTGTAAATTCATATCCTGTTCAAGATGTGAGGAAATAAGTACTCTGCATTTAATATTCTTTGCCTCATTTTAATTCTCTATAAGCATCAGATAAAAGGTACCATCATTTATAGAAAGATGGTTTCCTCTAGACAGCAGCATCATGTCACCTTTCAAAATTGAAGTTAATCCTCAACTTTCACAGTTAAACAACTAATAAGAAAGAATATGCAAGAGGGAGATTACCTTTTACACCACCAAATGGACCATAAGTCATATTACAAGCAGTCCTCTGAAGATTGTGTTCATACATCAGTTTAATCTGATACTGGTTCCCATGTTCCACATTTCCCAGAGTTCCTATAACAAACAAAGGGTATGCATTAATATCTTTGACCCATGAGATATGAAAGGGTATGCATTAATATCTTTGACCCATGCAGTGTGGAAGAAGCAAAGGAGTTTAAACAAATTGAAAAACAGTAACTTACTGCTAGTGACTATGAGATATAAAGGCTCACACTGCTGCTTTCTTTGAAAAAAAGTCACCGAGCTACAAAATTTGTAAAGGCCATAACCAGAAATAATGTCTCATTATAGTAAATATTGAATAAAGACTTATAGAAGCAAAAGGCTGAGATTTTATTATGTAAATGTATTTTTCTTCATGTTAGGCAGACCTCTAAGATCAGAAAAAAGTCTGTTCAAAGGGGAATTCTTCCCATTCTCTAGTTATTCAGTGAACATATTATATCCAACAGCCACCCTCAGCTATAGCAGTCTTCATCTCAAATTAAGCTGTAGCTAGTCATTGGCTATAATTTGACCAGCACTGGGCCTTATTGAAACTCATCCTTGATAGACCTCTGGTCTATCTATCTTTCTGGTTCCTTCTGGCTGGTCTTGCAAGATGGAAATAAAACCACATCACTGTCATTCTAAGCCTCAAGGAGAGAACAGGGTATTAAAGATGTTACTTAAAAACCTGAAATAGATTCATCGCAAAAGGCTATGGGCAAGATTAAAAGCACATTCTCAACAAGAAATCTAAACAGACAGTCCAAGAAAGCCACACAAAAAGGACATACAGACCAGGAAACGTGCAAAAAAAAAAGAACATTCTTTCAAAGAATTCCCCAAAAGAATTCTCTCCAGTGTCCATTTTGCTAGTTTTTCTGATGCTTCGATATATGCTTGAGTAGCCTGCTACCAAGTACCTGAACCTTCACTATCATTATCCTAGATTTAGATCTTAAACAGAAAGTTTCTTCATCTTATTATATGAGCGCATATTATTTATTACAGAACACAAATCTCTGTCTGTCTTGTTTATTAACGTTTTTGCCAGCTCAAAACAAGACTTGAGGTCATGCTTCTTCCACAGCAATAAACACACTCATGAGAGCTGAACCACTAAGTAGTAAGGAAAAGGAAAGCAGCCTGACACACTGGGACTGAAGTGCTGCTAGAAAGCAAGAAAAGTTTAAAGAACTTACCAGAGTTCCCCCTCTGCTGTTCTTGCTGCTTTGTCAGGACTAGCCCTCATTTTGACCATCCTAGGTGTTAAGAAGTGTTTGGCTGGCTGAGAGGGCTCCGAGGTAAACTTTACCTTCCATCTCCCCATTTTCTTAATTACATCACTTGCATCTCCCACAGCTCATGATAAAGTACATGAGAGACATCTGGCATCAAGATTGAGCTGGTGGTCAGATCTCAACTCAGATCTTCACGGTAAACAAACACGTATGTCAAAAACCCAGACAGATTATTCTACAGAACTGCACGGTGGCACGTGGGCAGTTCTTTTACTCTTGAACCATTCCAGACGCTCACAACTTTGTTTCTGATCTCCTCAATACAGCTGTTACTGCAATTCCACTATAGCACGTCAGGAAGCACGCTATTCCCTCTTCTCAGATTTAGGAAACTCCATCTTGACTTTCTGCTGTTAACAGGAATAGGCCCATAACCTACACACTCCCCCCTTGAGATAATCATAGCATGGATACCCTCTCACCCATGTGAGTTGACCACTTTTCCTAAAATGGTTGTGCAAAATTAGGTGAAAATCTCTTCAACCGGTATGAATTTTGGGCAGCTGAATTTCAGTGCAGGGACAAGCTTGAGTTTAGGGTAAGGCATTGTAGAATTATTGCCAGAAGTTAATCACAGACACAGAACTGAGGGATTGTTTGCATATATTTGTCATATTGACTCAGAAGACTTTCTTCTTTGGTAAAGTGACACCACTCTGCCAACAGCTTAGGGACACTATCTGTGTAGGTGACTACCACTCCCCAATACTGCTGGGCAAACTTTACTTCGGAAGAGAAATAGCTGTCATATAGACCAAACCTAAACACTTCCAGATTGGAACACAAACATTCATAATTATGTCACAAGTTCAAAAAAAGACTGATATCCATTAAGCTAATTCAAAACTAGAAATGCACCATAAATATTATTTTCCACTGTTTTTCCAATAAAAATTTAAATATTTCTTTGAAGTCTACATTTTATACCTTTAAAGACACTTGATATTTTAGGTTCAGAGAATGAAGATGTTAACTTTTTTCTTTATCCATGATAAGCAAGTTGCAGGAAAGCAAAACAGAACGAAAGCACAGAAGAAAATTATTTTAGATAGTAAAGTATTTTACAAGGGAAGTGTTTGTGATGTTTTTTAAAATGAGTATTATCCTTGTAAATTCATATCCTGTTCAAGATGTGAGGAAATAAGTACTCTGCATTTAATATTCTTTGCCTCATTTTAATTCTCTATAAGCATCAGATAAAAGGTACCATCATTTATAGAAAGATGGTTTCCTCTAGACAGAAGCATCATGTCACCTTTCAAAATTGAAGTTAATCCTCAACTTTCACAGTTAAACAACTAATAAGAAAGAATATGCAAGAGGGAGATTACCTTTTACACCACCAAATGGACCATAAGTCATATTACAAGCAGTCCTCTGAAGATTGTGTTCATACATCAGTTTAATCTGATACTGGTTCCCATGTTCCACATTTCCCAGAGTTCCTATAACAAACAAAGGGTATGCATTAATATCTTTGACCCATGCAGTGTGGAAGAAGCAAAGGAGTTTAAACAAATTGAAAAACAGTAACTTACTGCTAGTGACTATGAGATATAAAGGCTCACACTGCTGCTTTCTTTGAAAAAAAGTCACCGAGCTACAAAATTTGTAAAGGCCATAACCAGAAATAATGTCTCATTATAGTAAATATTGAATAAAGACTTATAGAAGCAAAAGGCTGAGATTTTATTATGTAAATGTATTTTTCTTCATGTTAGGCAGACCTCTAAGATCAGAAAAAAGTCTGTTCAAAGGGGAATTCTTCCCATTCTCTAGTTATTCAGTGAACATATTATATCCAACAGCCACCCTCAGCTATAGCAGTCTTCATCTCAAATTAAGCTGTAGCTAGTCATTAGCTATAATTTGACAAAGGTATGCTTAGGGCACATTTATCACTTGCCTTTATTCTGTCTGAAACTCAATGCAGTGATCAAGAAAGCAAAGATAAGAAACAAATGTGTTAACAGAAACTATTTTATAATATACATCACATTCTCTGAAAAGGTCTGCATGAACTTCAACTTCCTGACTCCTTCAGGGAACTAGTAAAAACTCAAGAAGTCTTTCTAAAGACCATGCACCTCATGAAGAAAACAAAGTTCTTAATCCTGTAGAGTAACACTTAAGGACTAGTATTAGCAAGACAGAAAAAAAACAAACCAACAAACCTTTGAGAGCAGTCACATCAGCAGGGAAAGAGGCATTTTGAGTGAATGATATCTAAGTCAAATCCTACCACAGCTTTAAGTATAGAAAGATTATTCCAACACCATCTTAAACGACATGCTATGAAAGATCTGTAGCTTATGCTAACCTTTTAGGCAATTTCTCCAGCTAAAATCCAATATAGCTTTTAAGCAATTACCCCTAAAGCAAGCCCACATTAGGGAAAGGATTGAACAGATGTGAGGGGAAAAAGCCCAGGCTGGGTAAATAACTAGCTAAGTAGCAACATCACAGGTAAAACAAGTCAGGAGGTAGTCAGTCTGTGTATACTGACTGCAATACAATGTCCAGGCCATACTTTAGTCAGGCCTGAAGGATGTCAAGGAGAAGCAGCACAGCTATTTTACCATGAATAACAGATATAGCAACATGTATAAAGCAAGTAAAAATCCTACTTTATGAAAGTCTGATTTGCCACAGAAACAAAAAAAATAATGATTGTTATTTCTCAAAGGAGCTTGTCTGAAAGTACCCGTTCAGATAAGTGAAACACCATTAGAGCATGAATTAACCCTAATACAAATTATTATGAATAGTCTTTTAAAGGACTGTAAAACTTCACTTTTATTATTACTTAAATGCTTAAGCCATGTAAACCAAACAGAAAATTATAATTAGAAAAGGAATTCTAGGCTGTCACTGTTGTACACCATTACAGAGAAGAGAAAGTATGAAAACTGCTGTACATCTCAAAGTATCACAAAGACCAATTTCACAGGTGTCTCTAGGTGAGACAACTAGAAGGAAACAATCTGTAAAGCGAGCGTGTGTTTGTAACCTATCAGCCCACAAGGCTGTGAATAGGAAGAAAGCTGCACCTACTAGAAAACCTTGCTCTTTTAATGAATAGAGCCACAGCTGTCCCTGCACAGAGAAAATGAACAATGTATAGCTGTCTATTGGATTTGGAAGATGGGGGGGGACAGATCTCTTAAATCTGTGCTTTTCCTTAGACTTATATTAGAAAGAATTCAATGCATACAACAGGTATTCCATGACTTGCCTCTTTACATCAAGAGAGAATATAGCACTTAGAATTTCCAGACAAAGCAGTAGAAGAAAGAGGATTTAAGAAAAAACACAGCAGTTTCAACTTCTTGCCAGTACCAAGCCCCTCTCATCTCTGGGCTATATTACCAATGTTCTGGCTTTCTAAGAAATTACCTGGATTTTTGAGTGCAGAAATAATTGCCAGTGTTCCGTTTTTAAAGAGCTAAGTAAGTTATCACCAAACAACCATTTGTTCATTAGTGTGCTGAAGAGTAACACTCCCAAAATAGTGATGGGAAGTAGTTGTTCACAAGCACTACCAGCCACAGACCATGACACGCATCACAGCACCGCAAGCACCGAGCAGCTCAGCAAACCCCTGGTGGTTCTTCATACACGAGTGAGGGAGAGAACATGACTGCAGCTCTTCAGGGATGATGAGCAAACACAGTATACACCAGCTTCAGCATTTGGCCTAATCCAAAATTTAGAATACACTTAAAATCCCTGGAAAGCTTGCATCTGTAAACTAACCTGAAACAGCATACACGCAGAGTTTTCGGCAGTGCAACACAGCCAGATGAAGTCCTTCAGTGCCACTATAAAGATTAAAAAAAACAAAACACACTGTTTTCAGATAAATTCTAAGTAAAATGCATACAAGATAAAATTCAAGTAACATGTTGAAATTACTGTCAGGTGTGGGCAAAATTTGAAGGTTTTGGTGTTAGATAATAGCACAAAAACTCAGAAGTCCTGATCTTCCTAAGTTCATGCTGCAGTATAAGAAGTTAATTTCAAAATTAGAATGAATACTTCAAGGACTCATTTTTAAAATAAAGTTCTCCTAAGTAGATTCTCTTACTGCATACATTAAATGTATGTTCTTAGAGGACTCATTTTAATTTTGAGACTAACTTCTAATACTGCAGCATGAACTTTATTTTAAAAATGAGAGAAAAACCTGTACTAACTACAAGAAACATTTGTGCTCTGAGACTGAAGGCCACAAGCTGAAAGCCCTACATCAGCTGAAGACTGCTCTTTTATTCAAGTACTCATGGAATGATCCTGTGCAGGAATTCTAACTCCCCACCCCGTGAAATGATCTAAAACATTTTCTACAGTTACAACATAAGAATTTTATTTGTAGGAAACACTACTTAGGTTTAGGGGAAGAAGAATGTGAACACAGGATTCTAAGTTTATGACTTCTGCCTTATAGTTTAATTAAAGTTCCATGCAGCTGGATTTTTTTTTTTTAAAAAAAAGTAATATATGCAGTTGCATACATTGGAGTGACAATCCTTATATCCATTTGGTTTTTCTCTAATTTTTAAAATAAAGTTCTCCTAAGTAGATTCTCTTACAGCCAATTAAATATAAGGCCTTTTCCTTAGAGTCATAGTATCTGTCCTACCTGGATACTTATTTCCACTAAAGTCACTGGAATTAAAGATCTTCAGTTCTCTATCAAACCCAAACAACTCACTAATATTACACCTTAGATTATAGCAAGTTACTCGAGCTTTCTTAACATCTAAAAAAATAAAGCTTTCAATGTAAGGCTTTTCCTGTTCTACATGGAAAAATCGTAGAAGTATCTGGAAGATTATCCTCCACGTATACACTAAGCAAAAATTCTCTCATACCAAGATGATTCAAAAAGCAGGTCAAATGTATATTACAGTATTCATAGGCGCGCTTAATAATTGAAATTGAAAATTCATCCCGTGAAAGGAAAAAAAATCGCATTTAAGCCTTAAATAAACAGCAACATAGCCTGTTGTTGACTTACGAAACAAATTTTCCCACTTCCACCTGCAATATTGGTTCCTGTAACTGCACTTCCAAGAGCAAGTCTTCAGGTTGTATTCCCTCCCCAGGTTTCACAGGATGCGGATTAAAGATTCGAAGATATCCCATATAACTGCCCACAATAATTTTATCTAAAAAAAAAGAAAAATTTCTTCACTGAAACAGTTGTTTTTTCACTGAAACATTGGACCAGGCTGCCCAAGGAAGTGGTTGCGTCACCATCCCTGAACGTATTAAAAAGATGGGTAGACATGGCACTTAGGGACACAGTTTAGTGGTGATTTTGGCAGTGTTAGGTTAACAGTTGCACTTGATCTTAAAGGTCTTTTCCAACCTAAATGATTCTATGTTGTACACCAAACCAACAGTAGCTCAACTTTGCTCAAACTCCTGGAAAGGACAAAAGAAAATAAATTTTTTTTTAAAGATTAAGGCAATGATGAAATAGGACTCAAGCACCTTGACTGAACAAAACAGAGCTCCAAGATAAGCATAAAGATCCCACATATTTATTAGTTTCTAAAACATGCACACACAAAAGAACTCTCCCTACCAGCAAAGATCATGTATTGCTGTAAATATATCCTCAGACACATCAGTTCCACACTTCCACATTATTAATGACTACATAGAAAAGCAGGACTTACTCAGAAGCATTTATTTCAGTTGCCCCTCATTTTCCAAGGAGAAAAGGTTGTTTGTATTTCTAAATTCTTAGCTTACTAGCTGTCACCTTCTTTTTTCTCCTTAAGTTTTGTTTAACAACTTATGATGTGTGTTTGCTCCCATGATTAACTGAAAATGTTCTATTTTAAAGATATCTAAGACTGATGGAATAAGACATGAGAAACTACTACTGAACACAAGCAACAAAAAGTGTTTAGAAACCTACAAATACACAAAGACAAAAGGCACTGAACCTGTCTTCTTAAGGCTACAAGGACAAATTAATGAGAGCAGACCCCAAACCAGGGCACAGACTTTAAACTAACCAACTATGCTGGCTAACAAGCTTCACTATGCACTGGTCAAAACAAACCCGCAGCTGTGTAGCTTAGAAGTCATCAATCACATAATTCTGAATATACCTTGTCCACTACCACTGTTATCAACATCAGCAACACACAGACAGCCTTGGTCAAATTCTTCCTTTTCTCCAAGTGTGGTGGACCACCAGTCTCTAGCTTTAAACAACGACATTCTTCTTTACTGAAAAAGAAACAAACTACTGTTAATTTACTAATACGTATAAAAATGTTTACACAAACAACTTTACTTGTTCACAACAACTTTTATTGAGCACATTCCATCTCTTAGCTTCATGTTGCTCTAGTGTGAGCTGAATAAATGATTAATTTTAATTTCCTTGGGTTTCTGGTTATGTAGTTCAGAAAACAACCTTGGAAAACTCCTTACATTTGGTTTACAATCATAGAATGGTTTGGGGTGGAAGGAACCTTAAAGGTCATCCAGTGCCACCCCCTGCCCTGGGCAGGGACACCTCCCACCAGACCAGGTTGCTCCAAGCCCCATCCAGCCTGGCCTTGAACCCCTCCAGGGATGGGGCAGCCACAGCTTCTCTGGGCAGCCTGGGCCAGGCTCTCACCACACTCACAGCAAAGAAGTTCTTACTAATATCTCTTCTAAGTCTCCCCTCTTCCAATTTAAAACCATTACCCCTTGTCCTATGGCTCCACTCCCTGATCAAGAGTCCCTCCCCATCTCTCCTGTAGCCCCTTCAGGTACTGGAAGGCTGCTATAAGGTCTCCCCGGAGCCTTCTCTTCTCCAGGCTGAACAACCCCAGCTCTCTCAGCCTGTCCTCACGGCAGAGGTGCTCCAGCCCTCTGAGCATTAGTTGTGATAGACACTGCTAGTTATATGAAGAAAAAGCAAAAAAAAACCACCACCTTTTTTTAAAATTGCTAAAAGCTTTCTGTCACAAGCATTAAGACAGTAATAAAAGTTTTCAAAGTCACATAACTAAGTTTTTTTCTTTTACCAAGAAGTATCAGGGGAAAAAAATTTTAAAATCTTCTGATGCAAATCTTCTGCAAGAGAACTTACCTGTCTAGAAGTGAATGAAGACACAGACAATATCAAAACCTCCCCCGAGCAATCAATCGCCTTGAAGATGCCCCACTGACACAACTGAAGAACTCGGTCAGATAGGGCACAAATCAGCTTTTCTCTTCCCTACTTGCTGTTATTTTAAGAAGCAGGGGAGGAGGAGGAAGAGATTAATCCTTTCATAGGCGGCTTAACAACAACGTTATACCCCAGCCCAGACCCCTCAGTCCCGGTCCAACCTGAAGGCGGGGGAGCCGAGGGGCAGCGGCTCCTGTCAGGAAAAAACCCATGAGCTCACCCCTCGTTTTCCTTCGGAACAGAGGCACCCGACAAGCTCGCGCCTCCCCCACAGCTCCTGCTGTCGGCAGCTCATCTGCTGGCTGGCGCCAAAAGTTCAGAGGGGACTCCCCTCGCCAGGAGTGGGGGGCTGTGCCCACCCCCTGAGGCGATGGGGCAGGGGGAGCTGGCTGTGCCCACCCTCTGAGGCGATGGGGCAGGGGGAGCTGGCTGTGCCCTGTGCCCACCCCCTGAGGCGCTG